TATATATATAAAGCAAAAAAAATGCGAATTCCAGGTCAGAGAAGTATGCCTCTTTGTCTGAAGATAACTCATGTGAAAATTCGTTCGGAAAAAATTAACAATGAAATGTCGCTTTTTGTGCCTTATGCACCACAGTGCATGAATTTCGAGTTTTGAAATTTCTTTGGTTTCACCCTCCAAAGTCTCGTCTCTTCGACTGAAAACTACCTCTAGGAAGGTTCACCAGAAAAATCTAGTATCAGCAAGTCGCACCATCTACATTGTGCTTTAGGCAAAAACCATTTAACACAGCGACTTTTCAGACAAATTTTCTTGAAGTGAACGTTCACGCAGATTTTTTTGTGATCATGGGCATATTTTTGAGGGTTGAAGCCCTCGGAATTTCAGTTACCGAAAATTGCAAAATGTGACACCTCAGCAGATAAACAGATTGACTCAGCTACTTTTCAATCTAATTTTGCGAAGTAAAATTTCGAAAAAGTTGCGTCTACACCAAAAGGCACATTTTTCTGAGCTGGAACCTTGGAAATTCGAGAACTCGAAAAAGTTTGTCTCCGTAATATATCTATAACACAGATCCTCTTTTTTAAGCGCTTTACATTGTGCCATTGTTTGGTCTAATGAAACAATGCTGATTTGAAGACGCTTTGATGGAAGAAGAACAGCTCATAAAATCAATGTTCATTAATCTGGCCATCACCGACTAAATTCGTACGACGTACATCGATGGTTTAAGCATTTCTTAGACTTATCAAATTCATATGTATCCATATGAAAAATTCCATCATATTCGTTTTCTTAGCATAAGTTGGGACGATTCTCTGGCGCAGGAAAGTTTTGAATTGCCGTACAACTTGAAATCCTTGCTATCATTGCACTAAATTTTCTATTCATTGCTGTCGATTTCTGCAAGAGAAGAACTAAAGTCAGAAAAGGTCTTATACAACTACCATAACGTTTCCATTTGATAGTTCATGTTTTGTGTCAACTATCAAAAAAAGAAACTTCCTAGACATTCATTGAGTTTAACCTCAAAAAATTTATAGCATTCATATTGATTGTTTGCCAGTAAGATGACTTTGTTTTCTTTGTTACAACTTCATCTAAATTCGATTGTTCACTGCGATCGATCTGGATCGATGAACGACAAAGTCCCACTGGATTTATAATGACGCAACCAAAGCTATCATAGGAAGGAGTTCAGATTGAAGCACTGAATGCATCTGGATAACAAATAAATTTCAAGATTTGTGCAGACCTAAAAATGATCGATTAATTTGAATCGATCATCTTTAGTTCATATTGAGCGGTTTGTTAGCTAGTTGCTTCATCAGATTTTAGGAAGTAATGAAACAGTGATTTTTGCTAGCTGTATTTTCAGCGGTTTTCGGTGTATTTTTAGGCGACAAATTCGGAAATAACACTCATTTTGATGCGTCTTTTTTGCTGAAATATTACTCATTTTAATTTCTAGTAGCAGTACACCTCAGTGCTGAACTCAGAAGTTGGTAAATTTCTGCGACTGTTACTGTTCGCTTGAACGATGAAAATCCCCCTGAATCAATGACTACAGTTCAAATTTGTGACTGGAATTGCACTGTTTTGTCGAAATTCTTTTTTGAAATTCCTCGGAAATCAAATTTTCGTAATATCAATTTCAAAAAGCGATAAGTTTCGAGTTGTTCTGATTATTGATTTCTGTAACATCATTTTTTGTCTGACCAATCTTACTGATTTTGGTTCTGGAGTCTGGCACCTCCTAATTTCTTATATGTTACCTGTTTCACCTCAGCTAGTAATTGAAAAAAGTGCTGGTCATGCTTATCGCTAACGATAAAGTGTTGCTTGCTCGCTGTTCCTTTTGCTCACGTGCTTGTGGGTCTTCCATTATTGCTGCAAACATAGTGCGCAAAAATTAAGTACCAATAGCTATTATTAGCATTTGATTGAAGCACTCGTCAGTAGCAATCCTGAAGTGGGAATCATAATTTTATTTGCTTCTATTTGTATTGTTTATTATGGTGCGACATTCGTAATTTCATTTATGAGCTGTAGATTTCCATGAATTAAAATCATAACCACTATCCTTATTGGTTTAACATTTTACTTATATGATGGACGTAGAGTCCTCGTTTAAATTTGCTTTTTTTTAAAAGTGCATTTCTCTTTGCTAAGCGAATCCCTTCATTTTGCTCGTCAACGGGTTTGCTTCATTGACTATATCGTACGTTTGCATTCAGTTCCTAACCACTAATTCAGCATCAGTTTTGTAGCACACTATCGAAAATTGCAAAAGGGGTAGGTGGACCGTTAGCAGTAAAAGATTGTTGTAAGGGAATATCGGCTGGAGTATCGCAAGGAAGAGGCGAACTCTCGTGTACATCCTCTTCATCTACCTCTTCCGAGGGAGGCACTATAGCAACAGCAAGTTTGTTTTTTATTCTCAATCCAGATTTTATTCGACTGCTCTTTCATCTTTCCAAATGATCATTCTTCCGTCCTATGGGAATGCAATGATCGTGCTGATTCTAGTCAATCGTCATTCGAAAGCTACAAATAAAGATTAAAAGTGTCCATTAGTGAAGATTGAAATATTCATTTACTGTTGTCAAATGCGATAAACTTTCTTCAGATTTGAAGTCTTATAAAATTGCAATGAATCAAAGGTATAGTTATTCGATATTGAAACAGTTCTCACAAAATGCTTAGCTACGCGAATAGAATCAGCTGTCGATTAGAATTTGAACATTTTAGCAAGTTGCAATTTAAAGTTAATCGCTCTTCAGATAAACAAAGCACAATGACCGCCTCTACACAAATTCAGCAAATTATTGCTGATCAGAAATCGTTTATGAATGAGGATATCGAAACGCAAAGTGCACCGACGACACCAGTTGCTTCACGATTCGACAACAATAATAATGATGGTTATTATTACCTCTATTGTCGCTAATTGTATGTGATAGAATCGCTCGTTTCAGAATCTGGTGGAACAGCCGTTTCAACAGCAACAGCAACTCCCCAACGTCTCGACACAAATGTACGACATTTTGTACCCCAGCAAATACGTGCTATCGATAGCCTTTACAGAGGACTTTTCGCATGTTTCAAACCGATGTGGACATATTTTGGACGTTCAACCGAATCCTTGTCAGTCGTCACATATATTCGTTCCTTTCATCTTAATGTAAATTTGTTAAATACCTTGTTGCCTTTAATGATTATCCTGTTGTGCTGACATAAACACACGTTGCTCATTTGCGATTATGTCAAACTTTTATTGAGGATCGGTTGTTTTTATCTCAGCAATTTCATGTTTCTGCGGATTGTTTAGTTGTTTTCTTATTTCGAAATTTGTTTATGGTGTGCATGATAATTTAAGGTCAAGTGGAATGACAAATTCAACGCTGACGTATTCAGACGATGAATGGGAGATTCCATTCGAATCAATAACGAATCTTGAATGGCTTGGCTCAGGTTCACAGGGTGCAGTATTCATGGGCAAACTTAATGGAAAGGTGGTTGCAGTTAAGAAGGTGAAGGACAAAGAAGAAACCGACATCAGACATTTACAGCATCTCAACCATCAGAATGTTATTAAGTTTCAGTGAGTTCATTCGTTGTTGATGCATCTAGCGTAGCAATGTTCAAGAAGCATATTCAAGCACGTTCAAGACTTTTATGCAAGCATATTCACGTAAAATGATATTTTAAAGAGGAGTTTGTACGCAATCGCCATGCTATTGTGTTGTTATGGAATACTGTGGTCAAGGCCAGTTATACGAGGTTATCAAAAGTGGTAGGCAAATAACAAAGGATCAGTTTGCTGAATGGGCAAGACAAATTGCGGATGGTATGAACTATTTACATCACAAAAATATTATACATCGTGATCTCAAATCACCAAAGTGAGTTTATTTAATACGTATTGTTTAGTTCAACTCTATTAACAACTCTAATCATGTGAGCTCTAGTAAGCATTCAGTAATACTAATGTGCATGATATGAATGGTCATAGCAAAAATGAAGAATCGAAAAGTGAACGATTTATTATAAGAAGTTGCTTCAGTTTGTTCTTCTTATTGTAGTATTTTGGTGGACGATAATGATATTCTGAAGATATGCGACTTTGGCACGTCACATCAATGGGATAAACAAAAAAGCACGGTAATGTCATTCTGTGGAACTCCAGCGTGGATGGCACCCGAGATTATTAAGAAGGAGCCGAGCTCGAATAAGGTAAAAGCTCATTGCTCACTCTTAATCAGAATATTTTGTCTTCAATTATCTTTAAAATAGCGCATTAGCTCTGCGAAGAAGTCTCTAGTGCTTCTAATTGATAAGAAATATTTTGAAGGTCGACATTTGGAGCTTTGGTGTTGTTTTATGGGAGTTATTGACTCAAGAGGCTCCTTACAAGGACGTTGATTCAATGGCAATCATATGGGGCGTTGGCTCGAAGTAATGACATTTTTAATGAAAAAAAATATTCTCACCTGTTTTTGTTACTTCTTAAGATGCAAAACTGGACAAGTTTCTTGTGATGCGCATCCGAACACTGATTGTTGAAATGATTTCTGATCCTCTCTTTTCTTTTGTTCCCAGAAATGCTGGCAGTGATTGCAAATATTTGGATTATACATAATTGTGAATAGGAATACAGTCTATACGCATATCCGAACACTAAGAGGATTGTGTACTGTGATCGATTATACTCAAAAAGCCATTTGCATTTGATTCAAACAATAATAAGAAACATAGTTCTATAATTCACTGCACTAATATTCTGCTGAAAATACTGTTTTTGCGGTCAGTTCCGACCGGCATTGGGAGTTTTACAAATATCACAAATATCAGCTGTAAATAGTAGGAGAGTTGTTTAGTGTTCGTATTGCTAATGCAAAAAAGATTATTGATGAACTTGATAACAAGCCTCAGAAGAATACTTATGCCCCAGTCAACTTTTCAACAGTAGTGAGAAAAGCTTTTATTACTGCATACTACCTCAAAAAACTTTGGCAAGTCCTCAAGACTGATAGGGTTCGGATATATGGGACAGATTATAGTTTTGAGTAATTCTACTGTTATTGAAATTACCATTTTTTTTCATTACACATAATTCATAATTATATATTGCAGCAATCTTAGTCTTCCAATCCCTAATACTGCCCCTGATGGTATGAAATTGTTATTGAAGCAATGTTGGAGTATTAAGCCGAGGAATCGACCGTCGTTTATGCATATTTTAACACATATTGCTGTTTTTAAGGTTATTTGCATTTATTTTTACACTGCTATTGATGTGTTTCCGCGCAATCAAGTTATAGTGGCCGCATGATGCGTTCGAATAATAGGCCCAGTAAACATATTTGGAACAAAAGTTGAAATAGCATAAAATGATATCGTTCACTGCTCTAGAATTAAATAAAGTGGTGTTTGTTTGAATTTATAGTCGGAAATAGCTGACATAAGTGACGAGGAGTGGACACGGCGACAAGCGACATGGAAGTCGTACGTAGTTGAGTATATGGAAGGAATACGACAGGAAAAACCAATGGGGCAACCATATAAAGATGCATTAAATGGTTGGTCATGTGCATTCGTAAAATATTTGTACAGATATCTCGCAACTTTGACTGTATCATTTCATGAAGGAATGTGGTTAGTCATAAGAATGTTCTGCCATAAACTAATACTACTATTTCGGAGTATTGTAAACCGTCATGATGCAGCACTGAATTGTGTCGCAGATGATGAGCGTTCCATGTGGAGTTACATTCATTGTACTTTGTTTATCCACTGAATTGATGCATTTTGTGTTTTTAGAACGAGAATTGTTACGAAAACGTCGTGAAGAACTGAAACATGCACAGGATATTCGGGAAATGTATGAAGATAAAATGAGGCGTGCGAGCAAGATGTATTCCAAACTAACCTTCTGCCTTAATGAACTCAATGAACGAGAACAAGTTTGTTTGATTTAAACATGATAATTGTTGCATTCGGCCACTGTAAATTCGATTTATTCAATTTTAACTCTGCACATTGAAGAAAGTACATTCATCTTCTACATATGTAAAGTCTCTATTGCAGTTCAGTGACCGATATTGCACTTCATAGAAGTGAAGATGACATTTTTATAGGATTTGCATGAACGTGAGCTACAATTGCAAGAGCGTGAGCGTGCCTGTATGGCACATTTACACGGTACAACGTCTAGTGTTGCGTCAGTGAAGGTGCTTACGGGTAACACCAAAATACAAAAGAATATGGCTGTGCGCGCAGGTCCTGAGCTTATCAACGGATGCCTGTCTGGCGGCAAACAGAAGCACGTTTCTTTCGATGCAATTAAACACTGTAGTATTCCATTTTTCAAATGTTTTGATCTGCATTTCACAGATGATAAGCGATCTGGCTGAATTGTTCAATCGATGATCGCATCGCGAATATTCTTTCTTTTTCAATATTTGCTAGCAGTCTTATGAATTTTTTATTTCAGTGTTTATCCGTACGTCACAAATCGCGCCACGCTTTGCTATCAAGAGCCAGAAGATATGTCTTCGTCAGAAGACGATTGTCGTATGGATACCGTCCACAGAACTTCACCTGCTAGGTTTTCTGCTACAAGTGTTGGGTATATACTTACTTTTTCATGTGTTTTGTTGCATTCATTAAATGTTCCTTCCATTCCTGATAGCTTATTCTGATGAGTGGTTTGACTCGTCTAGTGCCCAGGTGAATTGTCATTATCGACAGTATTAGATGAATAATTTTTATTTCTTTGCATAAGTATTTTTGTTGATAAATGTACTTATTCCATCAAGCCGTCCATCCCAAACACGTTTACTTAAGTGTTTGTTTACAGATCAAGCGGTTTTCCATCATCACAGTCTGTGACCAATATGTTCAGTCGGCAGAGTTCAGGCCGAAGTTCTTCAGGTCAAACTCGTCGTTCAACGAGAGCCTCACCTGCTCGATTGGCAGCTTCAAGTTCAGGTATGATATGCTCTCAGCATGATATGATATGGTATGATATGTTTTAGAAATTGTAATAATTCTTTATAATAATAATAATTCTCTAGAATATGCTGCAGTGTTATGAACAATTCGAAAGCACTTTAAAACAGCAAAACTGGTTGCTTTGCTGAACACAGTAGTATATATCATCAAGACTCACTCAAAGTACAAAATTGTGATACTGATTATTCATTGGCTGTTGAAAACGCTTAAAAATTTTGTTTAAGAACGCAATTTTTCACGTGATTCGTCCGCGCGATATTCAAGTAGCTCATACAATTTTCCATCCGATTTGCTCCGTGGTTCTCCAGCTCGTAATTCTGGCTATTCGGAGGTGTCAAATGATTCTGGATTTCATAATCTATGTGACGTTGATTTTGCTCCAAATGCATCGATGGGATGTGTACAATATGAATGTAGCCATTGTAGACAGTCGGTAAGTTGTTATTTTGAATGGCGATTGTATCAAATGCATTATTTATGTGGTTATAACGGTAGTGTTTAAGATTTGTCCAACGAATTTGTATCGCAACGCAGAAGGACGCTGGTCTGACGGTCGTTTAGCGGCTACGCAACGAAGGAAAAATCGAAAAAGTTCGATTGTTTCCTATCGCGACTCTTCGCAACGAGCAACGCCTGGTCAGCTCTATTTTCATCCATTCAATAGCACTTCATTATGTTTCGGTTACAGTGTTTTAATGATTCAACACTTTCTTATGATATGATGTTTTGCTGATTTCAAGTTCGCTGCAAGGACAAACGTTCATCGTTTCCACGTTCTCGACATTCGGCTGTTGATACAGATGCATCCAATAATTGTTATCCAGATATGGCTTTTGCACCACAGCCTTCCGATACTGATATGGATAATGCAAATCGAAATAGCCAGTACGTCATTGATAGTTTATTTAAAACGCTTTGATATCATTTATTAGTAGGTATGTTCAGAATCATCAATCTATTCAGTTCGGATGATTGTATCGCAGTTAATTCAATAATCCTTGCTACTGAAGTACTCTCTTCAACTCCGATCTTTCAGGAATCTCGTTAATGCAGATTCTCTCATGCCTTCCACATTCGAATCGAACCCACCATCGGTGTGTGGTTATCGTATCTTCATAGAACCGTTCCAATTTCATTTAGTATTTTACCTCTGTCTTGTCTGGTGTTGGAACTTTGTTTATTTAGCTCCAAGTTTTTGAAAATAAGAGACATTCAAAGTAATGAAAAATGAGCGTTTTTATCGAAAGCGATCGCGCTTTAAGGTTCGATTTTTTGATTAATATCGTTATGATTGCTCTAAAATGTGTAATGTTTCTGGCAACTTGAATATCAAATTTAGCTGCGTCAATCGCCCAGTTATCAAGAAGCATTAAGACACGAGCCATCGTTGATGATTAAAACTCAAGCTGTGTTTCCACAGCCAGAATCTGAATTGATGCACCATAATGATTCTCCACAAGACCAGGATAACTCGGTCAAAATCGCATCTGATGCTTCGGGTGAAGAAAGTTCTGAGGAAAAAGATCCCGATAATGGGTTCGTCGATTTGTTCAATTCTTCTTGAAATTAGTTACCTTTCGTGTGTGCACTATTATATTATCATGATGATCTCATAAATAAATTCATGTGCAGTTCATTGTATCAATGTTTAAATGCTTCCATTTAATGACTCCTCAAGATTGTTTGAAGTTGTCTGTACGAAATCGACACCATACTCTCTGTTTGCAATCGTGGAAATTTTATTTTTTGTAAATTAGTTCATTTTTATTGAGAATATATTTATTCATTGTTATTCATATGCAGTGCTCTGTTCTGAAGTTATACTCGTATTCAGGAATATATTTGATTCATCACTTGATTCGCCAAGGGCCAACTTTGCTTTCCGACGATTCAAAAATGTACAAACCAGTGGTGAAGATAGCGAGAGGTAATCAACTCTTTCATGTATTTACAAATGCGTACTTTTTCAGGTTTTTTTTAATTCCCTTATTTGAAGGCACTTTAGTGTGAATCTTCACAACTCTTCTATTTCATGGCGTCATTTAGGATTTTGGAATTTTGCATGACTTCAGATATTTCACTAATTGAATGGATGTTATTACTAATTGAAAGTACTTCACTAATGAAAGTACTTCAATAAACAACAACAAACATCCAAATTGATTTGAATATATTTTTGTTTTAAATGGCGTGATTGTAAACTTGGAGCAGTATATGATTTAGATCGAATCGTTTATTGATAACATCTTCGTCAACAATGGAGTCTTCATTAGAAAGAAGTCTCGAAATGGCGGCTATTCATTCGGATGGCCTTTCGGACAAAGAACGTCAAGTGCGTGCTGTTAAAAACTCAATCAAAACGCATCGTCGAACTGCTAGTGTACGTTCATTTAATGTTAATCTTCGGTATTCCGTTTATCTCATTCATTTCAGAATCCTTTGTCGATTCCATCGGTGGTGTGCGAAACAAGTACAGAAAGTGAAGGCGAAGCTGTTTATTGCTAAATTTATTGTTATTAAGCGAATGTTTTTACTTAATTAATTCCACTGAACACATCAATTTTTTCTCTGCTGCTTTTTCACTCTTGCATTGCACTCTGCTTGATGTGTGCATTTCGTTTAGCGAAACCTTAGTGAAACGAAGAAATGAAGAAATACTTTTACTGGATAAATATTCACAGTATTTTGAATGAAATTAATTGATTCGTAGCCAAAATCTCTCAAGCATTGATGTGATTCGTAACCAGTTATTAGGGAAACTAGCACAAGGGCCCATGGTAGCAATCAGAACAGATGATTGTAGTGATAATGCTAGTAATATTATTGATGTTGTTATCATTAACAATATTAATTATTATTAATCACATTAGCGTCATAGTATAGTTATTATAAATAATGTCAATAAGTCGATCAACTGTCATTGGTAACATTCAAAATTAAAATCTTTTATATGCTGATACTAGCGATAGTTCAAAAAAGAAGTTTTTTTTCAATAGCTTTGAGGATACAGTTAATGACACTTTAAGAATTTCAAAAGAATTGGGGCGAAATGTGTATGATTCGTTATTAGTCGTGTTATATTTCAATGCTCCTCAATTGTTATTTTTTATCGGATACGAGTTCGCCGTGAAGAACTGTATGAATGTTAATTTTCATTCAGTTCATGTGTTCTATTGATCATTTCATTACAATATCTCAGAACATTTCCAAGGATCCCTCTTGCGACATTTTTCCACCGAATAAATCAATGATTTATCGCTGAGATATTTACCTCTTTCAGAATTTATTACGTAACGGTTATATGTGAAGAATAAATATTCCATTAGTAGTGAAAATATTCATTAAATGTGCATGAGAATGCTAGATTGTCGTACTTTTTTTCATGTACCCCCTAGCTGTCTTTGATCAATCAGATTCGTACGTTTCATAGATTGTTCTCGCTTATTTTCACTGAATACCGAACTTATGCAGCGATAAAAAATAAGACAGGTGATGACCCGAGCTAGATTTTAGTGAAGAAATTCACAAGCCTTTATTCAAATCCAAGAAATTCACTAAATCCAAGGAGTAGCCTTTAATTTGATCGCGAGTTTTTATTTTGGATGACTCAACTGCACAGTTGAGTTGATCAAGTTGTTAAGCAACAAATTATTCTCATATATGGATTCATTCGTTCATCAGTTCAAACCTTACTGATCACTTTATTACAAACATTGTATTTCGAAAACAGCTCAGTTAACACCAGCTCTTATCATAGCAGTCTAGAATCAAATTGACCCGACCGATCATGCAAGAAAGCGTAGCTTCAAATAAGTTAGGTCATCTATCTTTTTCTGATCACCCTCAGTTGAAGTCTTCACACTTCCAGGTGCTGTTTAATGATGTTTCAACGTGTATTTCTCATTGAGCGTATGCTTCATCATGTTCCTTTTATGTTACAAACACAGTTTACATTTCGTTTTTTTTTAGATCTGTTTTGCTTTCATAGTAACTAATACAGAGTGAAGTTCTGCTTGGAAATGATTCGTTTTGAGCGTGCATAGATGAAATTATTTATGTTAGTTTCGTTCATTCATTCATCAATTACGCACGCATCCAATCTGTTTCGTTTCAGCTAGCTATCTAATCTTCACACTGTATTGGCGAAGACTGAATTTGATGAAATTTATGTAATTCAGAATGGTACACAACTAAGAAATGTTCCGTTATTGTATGTATGCTCGCGAATTTCACTTCGTATTAACGTTGATCTTGTTCTTACTCTTACTCAAATGCGATACTAAAATTGTTTTTTTTTGTACGCGTATGAATATTTTATGTATTTTCGATATCACATGTAAATATACATCTTCATTGTATATTGTAATTTATATGTTGTGTATTCGTCTCGGGTCAACTTAACAATTATATTCCACACTTGTATAGAATGTAGTCGTTTTTTACCTACCGTGAGTGAATTCATTCAAAAAAAATTTCAATCTTCCGATCACACTGATCGTACTTCTACTGCCGACGAACCTATACTTTTTGTAGAACTCATGAGATACTTTTGAGTAGAGAAGATGAATTATGTGATGTCGTCATCCGTGTGGCTTGCACAGTTTAGAGATGTCCCCTGTGAATAGTCAACTTTTGAATATTCTCCATTAAACTAGAATAGTTGTTTATCTTTTGACCGTTAATCGATTTGTGTCACTAATATTTCATCAAGCTAATATTAGTTGTCAACAGTAAATTATTGTTGTGATATATTCACGAGAACTGCATAACTCTTCAAATTTTATTACTATGAATAAAACACTTCTTGAATGAAGCAACCAACATCTCAATGAACCCGAAACTTCTCAGTTACTCAATCCATTACTATAGATCCAATTTTAATTGGTTTTCAAAAATTATTTTGCACTTTTTATATCAGCCGATTGCTTGGGATTATGCATTTTCATGACAGCAGTTTTCATACCATTTGTCGCAGAATGCGATTTAGTTTTATTCTTTGTAAACGGTAGTACACTTCGTGCAGATCAAAAGAGTAGATAACTGCTACCAACATTTCCAAAGCAATACACTGAGACAAAACAATCTAACCAAAACTTAAGAAGTTCTGTTTGAGAAACGATCTGCTGTGCAAAAAGCCAGAACAACTAGTTGATTCTGTGTAAAATCTGAACAACTGATTTATCATTACTATTCGAGCTCAGTTCCAGTCGATGATGTGTTGACTTTCCATTATTTCTTGTAAGGACAATTTCACAGCTCTAGAAATTTTACTTCAACGTGTAAAATAAAATGAAATACATCAGAATGGTCGATATATAGAGATTGTTTGGGAATTCTCAAAGACATGCAAAAAACCGTTATAAATGGCTTCGTAAATGAATTTTGCACTATCAATAGGAAGATGAAAAAGATGCAATTTTCACACATACGTAACACTTGCGACAATCAATAAAAGCAGAAGCAAGCTCTAAACGCCAAAGAAAACGACCGGGATATCAGCAATATGCCATTCCATTGTATGATTAAATAATTTCACATTTAATAACTAATTTCTAACAAACCATTTCTAATAAATTTGCAACAATTGCATTCATACGGATTGTCCATTCATACGGAAGAACATTCAGACGGATCACAATTATTCACACACACTTGTCTCATTGCTGCCTTTTTCAACGGATCATTTGAACAGTTCTCTAAAATCACTGAATCAATGTCTCGTTTACTTTATGTTTTTGGTGCTCTCTATAAAAAGGATTCGTGTCCTCTCCTGATGAGACTGAATAAAAAACATACATTTGTTTGTTGAATGAGATTTCGCAGATAATCTGAATACTATTATCTTATAGATTTGGTATGAAAACTGAATACGATCCGATATTAAAATGCGATGAATTCTATAGATGTGCCACAGTATTTGTATGATTAAAAGCACTTGAACAATCCATCACATACGCCGATGGTTGAGATTCTGCTGCATCAAAAGATGCAGCAGAAGATGCCCTTGACAGAGGCCGTTGCTGTGGCCGAATTGCTTTTTGCCATCTCTAAATTTATCAAGAAATATTTTATGTTCTTAAAAATTCATTCACTTCATTCTGAGTCACCTCTCAGCAAGAATGTATTAACACACACTTAAAGCAATCTCCGCGATATCAGCTCTCTATTCGAGTCTTCAAAACGAACATTCAATATGAGAAACACTTCAGAAACTTATCAACTAAGAATTATAACTGATACGATCTCACAATCAGTGATTTTGCTGTAGGCGCTTTCCTCATTATGCTCGCAAAATGAACGTCTCTTTACCTATATTCCGTAGTTACATCGGTACAGCTGTACTTATTATTCGTATCAATATGACTTTTGAGATTACTATTACTATCATTATATTTATATCAAACACACTGTAACTGTCAGCAATATTGCTTTATTGTGATCATTATCATTATCATCATAAAACTTTCAAGGAATATGCAACCGACCTGTGAGAAGGTTCCTTTGGTATTACATATATAATAAATAGCATATATAGGAACACTCATAACAGAAGTTAATCTCAAAAACCATCCAAGGAGTATTGACCATTCCGGATATGTAATGCTGGGAACTCTCATTCGCGATATCAGCTTGTCATAGACCGTGAGAGCAAATATTGCCTGAATTTGATGGGGTTCGTTTTCAGCTGATTTTGATCGATTCAAATGTTTCTTTCATCTAGCACTGTCGACTATAGTTCACATGGTTTTGTTTATTTGGATTTTTGCACTTTTCGTATGTACTAATCATTAGCGATGGTGCAAAAACGTTTCGCACCGAAAAACTCAACGAGCACAAAAGCTTTTTTACATTGAATGCGAATATATTTAAAAACAACCAGCGATGAAAATTTTGGATTTCTTATCCACCATACAATTGAATCACTAAATATATTTTCAAATAAAACCTTCGAATTTACGCCATTTTTATTACTGTTAGCTCTCAGCGCACTGACAATGAATGGGTGTACTATGAATGCAAGGTAAAAGTGAATGCAATATGCGTTCAGGAGATCAAAAAAAAAAACGAAACTAACACCAATAAACAGTGGACAACAAGTCCAACAGAACCTCCAATAGATGCCGGGGTAGAATCCGAGCATTTGACGCACATCTTCACTGAACCGACGAATACCGTAAAAACAACATACAGCTACCATCTCGCACATCACAATGAATAGCACTGATAATGTAACACCGTATTCATCGAGGAACTCTATCACATATGTGCCACCCTATGGAATGGTTTATCATCCTCTAATACGTTCTTTCAAAATAATGAGCAGTTTTATTTAATTATGCAGCTCCGATAGATAAGATAATACACATGTGCGGTGCGTCCAAAAAAAAATCGCAAACGAGCTTTTAAAACGCTAAAATTGCGAGTTATCAGAGCAGACAATATTTTCAATCGAATGACTGCTGTTTAAAAAAATCACTGAACTGTTAAAGTCCATAAGATAATGGATGATTACAACACCAAAGACATACATACGTAACAGTTGGAAGACTACCAAGGTAGTAACTGGCAATCACAATGGCCACAAAGATTTCACGTTTTCGTGCTAAAATTCGTGGATATTCATCACAAAATCCAGTGATCAAAGCTTCAATTCCGCTGAACTAAAATAAACTGATTAATGCATTTCTTTATTGTCTTCACATGCATTCTCTCCTTAAATCAAAGCTTAGTCAACTTCGGTATACTGTGATATATTATAAGACAGAAGTGCGAGATCCATTGCACATAATTTTCATTCGGCATATCTGCAGTATAGCAACAGTTTCACTTCGTACGGGGGTCATGAGTGAGAGCACTAATTAGTGATTAAATAATAATAATATTTCAAGATGTTTGGATAGACTATGCTCTCGCTATCAAAAAAGTCAGGCATTTCCTGTGGCTGAATTCCTTTATTCAAAACATATGATCGTAATCATCTGCTCAAAGTGTTTGGTCTGCACTCGTGCTATATTACAGGCTTGCATATGGTGAATCAACGCTATTCAGTTCATCAATGTACTCATGAATCACTGACAACGACATATTGTTTTGTGATTATATATATAAAAGCGTGACTGAACCATAAAGAAGGTTTTTATGCTCGTGAGACAAACCATTCGCGCAAGAATAATCCATTGTTTGTCAGCAGTGATCAACAGAATCAAACTTTCGCATCGAATTCTGAGAACGGCAGGATAAAATTGGAAATTTTCGGCGATTCACTTCATTCAGACATTTGAGTGATTTACTTCATTGAGAGCCATTCATATCTAATGCTTCTGTTATGAGCAATCACATTTGCTTGTATCTACTTTCCATTGAGAAATTATGCTTAAGTTTCCCACAGTATGCTTATTCATAGCAATGATATGAATATTGATTCTGATTATAGCATACCAAAGAGGAAGGCATTTCACTCACCGTGCTATCAATGCCAAGCGTAATAAGCATTACGAAAAAGATGAACGACCAGCAACTTGAATAGGACATAGTAGCAATGGCCTGTGGATAAACAATAAAGATGAGGCTTGCTTCGTGATCACCGACCACTTGGCTAACTGGTCGATTCGTTATTACGGACATATAACCGAGTGTTGAAAAAATCACAAAACCAGCGAAGAATGAAGTGCCGCAATTGATGACTGATGTGACTAACGCATCGCTGCAAATTTGCTCAAAATCAATCCGTTCGTCAGTTCAATTCACTTTCAACGGCGACTTCCATCACATTTTATGCTTCTTGTTCACGGTTCTGATTTGTCTCAATTGAAACTGCTCAGTTACAACGAATTTTTTGCTCGATGAAACTGCGTACTTATTCTAAATGCAGTGGTTTTCTCATATAGGTGAAAGCAGCATAGCTATCGTTGGAAAGATCTGCGGAAGTTATTTTGAAAAAGTTGCGATGGATAATGCTCACCGATAGCAGTTATTATGGAAATCGTTATAACTGCTCAATGCCAGAAGGACACCAAATCCAGGGCCAAGCGAGAAAAATATTTGAGTGGCAGCTGCACTCCAAACTTTTGCATCCAATAGTTTGCTGAAGTTTGGTGTTAGATAGTAATAAATACCTCTTGAAGCACCTGGTAATGTTATGCAGCGAATAAGAAGGATCGTCAGGATTATATAAGGTGCAGTTGCTGTTACCCATACAACCTGAATTGATCACTCTTCATTTTAAAAATTCGACACGTCATTATACAATTTAGCCCTACTGTTTAATTTTTTGATATTTTCAGATCAGTCTTGATATGAGTTTAACTGAGATTTTAAACTTCTCGTTGGTCTGGATTTAAAAAATTCTATCTTAAAATAGAGCCAGTCAGAATCGTTATTGAATGAAATTAGGTGTTCATGCTACTTAACCGTCCAGCCAAGGAATTGATCGATAATGAATAAATTATTTGAAAACAACATAATGCATGCCTTTCCTGAACTTCTCGGACCTTTCCACAGGGCAAAATAAACGAGAAGGAAGACAACGAAAAGGCAAAACGCTAACGATGGTTTCACCCCACCAAGATTCGCAAAGCCATTCGAACGGTTAATTTCAAGCACGTTGAAACTGAATTGAGATCAATCAAAAACAATTCAATTATGTTCACGCGCTTAGTTCGTGTCCTTCCGCATGCTCAATGAAAGCTTCAACGTCACTTTCATTGTTGTTGCTAAAAGTTGAACATGGCCGCATTCCGCACAGAAAAGTGACATAACATTAATAAATGTGATGTTCGCGATCGGACGGTACGTAATTTATTGGAGATCTTAAACAGAATATAGGAATTGTGTCCTTACGCGTAAAAGTACGATTGCACAGAAATGTTTCAACTTTCCATGTAAAAAATCGTACCACTGCTCTTGATCCCTGTCTACTGCTAGCACAACGAGCATCTTTAAACTACTGTAATAACAACTAACGTGGCCCAGTCGAGTTAAAATTTCAATTGAGCATGCACATAGATATAATCTATGCAAGCAGAAAAACTAGGTTGACTTGACATTAACGTCGATCATTATCGTTATGCCATTTTTCAGTGCAAAATGCCAGTGCAGCGGCCGAACAATAAAACGTTCAAAGTTTCAGTGAGCATGTGCAACGATTCATACGTTCATAAGGAAATGTGATGTTGTTTTATTGCGAAGGTGCACTTAATTTTTGACTCACTCACGCACTTGTTACTTTTCTTTATAATAGGATTATGGTAATTCAATGACGCATCGATATGACTGTAATACATTCCTCTGGTATTCATCGGAAAATTAGACAAATATTAATTACTGTGCAGAAATTAGAAGCTGTGAGCTAAGAAGAAAGAAAGAGTCTGCTTAAATAACTATGCAATGGAAAGAATTGACAAAGTGTTTTTGCATTTGAAATGCTGATAACTTTTTGCCCCTAAAAGAACACCAAATTAACACAGCACAATAACTGATCATATTGGTCAAAAGATGCATTTTATCTGGAGCTACAACAAGTCATAAAACATTTGAAATCGTGTATAAATAAATTTAATGAATATTTGTAACCCACAGAAAATACTCCTCGGATGGCGTTCTCAGTTTTTCGCCGCTTTTGCTTAAAGTTTCATTGAGGCTGCTTGTGCAGAGGTCGGTGTTCCATGTATTGTTACAAGTTTTCCACGGTACAACTGCCTAAATATGAACGATAATTTGTTTCGATGATCGCTCAGTGTTTTAGCGTGTGAAATATTATTTTGAAATAAATGGACAGCAGTAAATATTATCCTTTGAAATTGTTCGCTTTATTGAAAATACAATTTTGTTGACCAATAAAAATAAAATTCAAAGAACTTCTCCAAGGAAACTGAGAACTGAGATGAAGCAAAATGTGTTTTTCTCAAACCTGCAAAGAATCGTATGCGATATAGACGGCATGTGCAATGATTGCGTTATAGTAACATGCTATAAACGTACATATAAAGCAGATACCGTAACCGATCCCTAAAAGGATTGTTTATATTGCACTTGAACAATCACTCATTGATTGGGGCAAGTAACTCATAATCCGTCAGATTCGAAGCTTTTTATTTTATTTCTGTTATTCTGTCAGATCTACGAATTGCTCAGAATAAATTATCCAAAATAATACTACTAAATGTATTGAAGGTAATGAATTTCGTGTACCCTTGAACATTGGACAAATTTTTGACCAAATACTAATGCAGCCTGATCGATGGAATTGACCAAGCGCCAGTTCCATGTAAAACATCGGTAAACCACCGACGAGAAGCATAACGAGGTATGGAATAAGGAACGCACCTCAATACATAGCCACCATTACAAATTATGGTCGATTGCTCTCCTTTGACACAGTTTTAAATTGCTTTATGTAATTTCATCTCAATGAAAAATCAAAATGAAGTCAGAAAATGGATGCACTGGAAAGAAATTGACTGGGCTAAATAGATAGATGAACAAAGGACGCTTCATTAACCTCCTCCATTCTTATAGCACTCAGACGGAAACCTCCAAATATTGCCTAGATCAACAGCATAACCGATTACTGCGAGAAGAAATTCAATTTTGTTGGCCCATTTTTCTCGAACAACACTCGAACGACGTCTTAAGGCAGCCAATCGTGATGCTTGCGATGAAGGTGCTGCATCTCCAACGCGAATGACTGCTTGAAAAGTTTGAATTTGATTTAGAATCAGCAACAATTACAAATTTCATCTTAACACATTTTGTGGTGCAACACTATTTTAAATGTAAGTCAGTTTATTTAACCTGAGAGGTGATCAACAGAATCGCGTTCAGTATCCGCAAGAGGAGCAGAAACAATCAGCGCTGACGATTTTGTGGACAGTGCCGAACAGTCTTCAACTGGCGAACATTCGGCTACCTTCGGTGCGATATAATCTGCATTTGGAAAACATTTAAAAGCAGTAAGAATGTACTGAATATTCAGAATGTTACCAGGATAGTACTTCCCTATTCACCGTGAATCGTTATCCACTGTTAAAACCAATAAGCGTTCACGGCCCCTCAGTGCAATAAAATTAATTCCATGAAAGCTGGGAGGTTAATTTAGAGTTTCATGAAAAACTGATCTGCGATGCCGCATCACGGGCAACCGCATTTTGGGTGAACACTCTTTTGAGGCCTTCAGCATTGCTCAGGTTTCACAAAAGTAGTAACAATATTCAGTATGTACGTCTGATTTTCTTGCACAAAAATACCTCATTCAAAAATTATTCATCTGTTAGTCTCGAATTGTCCTATAAGATTGGCTAGGAATGAAACCAAATGATTGTCACCATCTCTGATTATTCAGTCTACAGCAGAGCAGTTCAGGTTTGCCGTTTTATTGGCGTCTCTGTTTTGCATCTATACCTCTTTTAGGTCATCGATACCCTCAGGTGCCTGCCTGATAGCTTATAACGAAAGTGCGTTTTTTTTTCTGTGTCATAACGCAGCTAACTATCTTTTAATGGCATTTATATGAGCTAGAATATTGAAATACTTTGGAATTGTGTAACCCACATATTGGAATTGTGTAATCCGCACAATGCGACTGTTATCAGTTAAACTTCTAAACAATCCCAGTTAGCGACTTAAATTTTGCGAACCGCTGTTCCATTTGATTGCAAATGTTTTCCTGAAGTAGATGGACTATGCAGAAATTATGTATGATTGAGTGTTCGTCAGCATACTAAAAATTCATCATTTTCTAAACGTTCAAACTGTTGATTTTGAAAAACACCCAAAAAATGCAGAGTTATGACCATGACAAATTTTCGTTCATCATACTCGTTAAATCTCTTCGTATCGGGAACGATTCAACACTCAGTAGTCCATATTTGCTTTTAATTAAAATACCTTCACATGAGTAAGCCGCTGAATGCTTGCACCAGTGCATACATTATAACGAATCAAAATGGTTCCAACATACTGATAACATGAGATATTAGCTGAACACCTATGAAGTTCTTTAGCTTACGAATACAGATTGAATTTGCGTAAAGATTAACATTGCGACATATTCTATCATGTTTACTTACTTTTGCTTAGTTGGATTTAACAATAAGTAAGCACATAATTGTAGAACATAATTCCTGATAAATAACCTTTAAATGGTAATAAGATTTCTTAACTTGATCTACTTTAGTTCATTCGATAATCAATTAGTTCACTTTTATATCGGTTACTTGGATTTTTTTCGGGTTTCTTTTAATGAGATCACTGAACTATCTAGAAATGGCCAAATGACTTCTCAAAATCATGTCTACTGCATTGCACATTTCGACAAATTCTACCACGATATCAACTTGAATAAAGTTTGTGCTGTTTGTATTCAGATGAATGCAGTTAATGCAAGGTTTACCATTACTGTTAGTGGCATCTTTCTCAACTGACACCTTTCCGTTCAGTTGTGAAGTTGAGTTGAGAGCACATGGCGAGCTTGGCACCGAAATAGTACCATAGTCAGACATTTCGTTGATGCGATCACAGTTCACTGAAATTATCCACGTTCAGAATGATGACATTCAACGCTATTCATTTGATCGGCAAACGTTAAATAGCTTAAAATTATTTTCAACTACAGGAAACATAATGATTCGCACTACTATAGCATCCTTCATTTGAAGGATCATTGAGCTGTTTACTATTTTATGGTCATATAACACTCAGCTTCTTTGATTTTAGTTTAGTTTCTCACATTCGACTTGATAGCTTAAATAATATCGTATAACGAAATTTATAGCCATCGAATTCACTTGTATCATTCTGCAGAATCATACTCAGTGATAGCACTAACTCATAATCTTGATAACCCAAACAATATTTCATTCGAGAATGCTTCTGAACAGAAAGCAAAATAATTTTCACACGACATAAATCAGTCTGACACCATTCACACTGTGTGAGCCAATCAGTAGACCTTGAAATAGATGCAACTCATCATAATTATAATACTTTCTTAGTGATAACTTCAGAGCTGGTGAGAATAAGAAATGAAATTGGGTAAACAAAATGAATAACAAGCAGTCTCAATTAGATATTTAATTCAGATCTTTCACAGACGTCACAATTTTATTTGTCATGATTATTATTATTCCTCAATAATCAAACCACGAGCAGTGATGAATCAAAATTATGATATAATAATGCAAGCATGCGTAATGATTGCAGACACATTGAATGATTTTTACGGTAGAATTATGCAGATTCACGAAAATACAAGTTGATAAGGCTGATGGATGTCCTCATAAACAGGTACACCTGGATACGAGATGAAAGAAGTGAATGAAAGAGGATAGAACGCACAAACGAGACTGGACTTGATGAAAGTGTGAAAGGTACACCAAGCCATGTGAATTGTAGGTAAGGAGGGCGGTTGGCTTGTTTTGTTAAGCACACTAATGACAAACTCGATCCGATTACATGATTTATTTGACAAATCTTTCACATATATGAAAGTTTGACGCAGAGTTCTGCTGCCGTGGAACGTAGAATTTGCGACAAATATTTTTCACTTATCTTTTTTTCATCTGATGATAGAATGACTTATGCATGTTAAGCAGTCTCATACAATTTCAATAAGTCGTCTGTTACAGACAAGGGAATCTATCAGAAAAAACTTAAACTCTCAAAAGCCAATATTTATGTGGATAAAAATCGCTGGAATAGCGCCACCAAATTTGACTGTTTACTTCAGATATGAATGCCGACTATGAGCACAGCTTAAATTAGCATCAGAAATAAAATTGAGAAGTTCATTAATTTTGGAATTAAGGAAATTGATACATTTGCTCCATGAGTGGCCGACTCAAAATATCTGAGGGTGTGTGATCACGAAGCGATCGATTGAATATGATGGTATTTAAATGATCCTAGAAGATACTCACTGATTCTACCATGATTATTGTTTTGAAAGACCTAGTAGACAGTACAAAAGAAGTGATCTTCAACTAATTGCTGCTGCATATTCTTGGATCAAATTCTAATTATTTGAAAAGGAACATAAAGGGTGATATAACCAATTGCAAATATAGTATTTTCATGCATTGAATGAAGGTTGAATTTTAGGGAAAGATTGTTGTTAAGAGGACGAAGCATGGTTCAGTGCATAGAGCGCTCTCAAGCATTCACTTTGCTCGCACGAACAACTCAACTGGAACATTTTCGTTTGGTGGCTAGGTGAGGAGAAAGAAGGAGAAGGAGAACAAATAACAATATCTTATCTATTCTGTAGTTAATATTCAGATAATTACTTATTCAGCGGCAGAATTGTTGTATCTGCTTTGAAAATATTATACATTTATCATGCAACTTTTGTTGACAACTTCATTTGAAACAATTGAATAAGCGATTCCGGAATGAGATGTACATTAGCTCGTTTCATAAACAAAAACAACTCATTCAGAACAAAGCTTTTCTAGGCAAAAGAGAGATATTTGCCAACGTGTATCATCATTTTTTAGTAAATTCAAGAGAATCTGTAATCAAATACACAATCACATTCGTGTGCCGAACTAATTGATAATAGTAAGATGTTAGCGAATAAGATTTATAAACGAGTGAATGAATTGTGCAACAGAGTAAAACATGAAATTGAAATACTAGATGATGATAGGTGAATGATTATATTTGTATTGCGTTCCACGGTACGATTTATGTCCCTCCTATTCTATTATATCAAGCGAACAGATCGCAATATTCGATTAGTGCGAATTGATGATGCTTATTTGGCATGAATATAATCCTCTTGGTTATGGAAATAAGAAAGTGTTTTTATTTTGCTTAGAATGCTTATTATTTTCTTGGTACATCTTCTTCAACAGTCTCCTTTTTGACTGCATACTCAGATGGAATTTACAAGAATTTTCGAATAATATCATGAATAAGAATGATTCTACTACTATTTTTATAAGGAATATATGTTGTGAAATTTGACCAATCGGTGATTAGATATTACCGTAATCCATTCAGTTATTCATCAGTGGGACTTGAACTCATACGGTTGAGCGTGTTCGATGAATGGTAATGTGCAGGTACTCGTTTCAAAGCTGGCTTTCGCATTATATGAAACAGAAATGACTGTTTAAGGTTATTTCTCTACGTCTCGAACACGCTCACATACCACTCAAGCAATCTACGAACATTCGTCATCTGTTTTTGGAGGAAGACCAATGCAGTATTTTGATCGATGAAGCAATCGCTCGAAAGTTGTTCCACTGAAATTGTCAAAGGCGAATTTCAACTGGCATATCAATAAATTGAACAGTTCTGAAATCATAGCAATGCAACGTTATCTTTTGATAAGTGATGGTTATATTATTAGATGTTCATTAATGATTGTTATCATCTTCATTTGTGTTAAACTTCTCAATCATTGATGATTACTTTCGAGAATTCCTCGCCTAACTGAGAAGAATGAAAATTGTTTGAAGATTTATTAGCAACACCAAATGAAAGTGATTATTTGCTAGACGTCGATTCCGAAAAAGTAGGACATGTTCAGTATTGCACGCAATTGTGCTAGTTCTTTTGGCATAGATATTGAAGTATCATTGAAGTGTCTAACTGAGGAAATTCTATAAACTTGAGATGTGGGCGAGATGAAACGATATCTGGTAATACTTCTTAAGGTGGTTTATTCATGAATAATTTACACTCAGTTCCACAGAACAATAGCGCTCTTCAAATAAGCCGTTTACGGATGAACTTTGATGCCAATTTCCCAACAAATTCTCCACAACACTAATTAATTTATATTCAAAATATTTCAATGCAAAACTACGAGAGGTTCTAATGAATAGTTTGAATCAAGAGAATACGCGCTTTCAGGCTTTGAGATATTTGAGAAAATAAAAGTGCAGAATTTATAGGAATATTCAGATCGTAGATTGTTTAATCTGGTATGCAGACTCAAATTGGAGATGGAATGCTTTTACATACGTTAGAATTGTTTTAATTTTCAGCATAAAAAAGAGGTCTGTCACCTATGTCGTTTTCAAAAGTCAATAATTGCTCCTCGAAAAACAAGTTTTGTTCGATAAAAACACAATTGGAATGAGGTTAATTTATAGGAACATGCAACGCATTGGCCTCAAACTATTCGTAGGTGTAAAGTTCGGCAACGTTAATGTCAAGAAACGAGTTTGGAAGGAAAATCTGGCTGAGGATAGCGCGTAAAGCCGAAGAACATTTTGCGATAAGGAGTATTTGAGTGGTACCTGAATAAGTTTCAGAAACGGATTATTTTTAATAATTAATCGTAGAATTCACTGAAGTGCTCGGGAAACGAGTGTCGAGCTAATACGATTGGTATCTTCAGAGTTTCACATTCGTTTACGTAAGGGATGAATAATAGTACTTCCTACAACTCATCATAACAACATATAGTTGATGTATTCGAAAGAACAGAACAGTCTCAAATTTAATAGCATTTCCAGATATTCCAAGGAATTTGAAGTCCTTAAACCAGCACGTCAACACCTGATAAATTGAGGTCATTGCTTGAAACAAGTTTATTTTTTTGCAAACCATCGATAATATTCGCATATTTACAATCGTGGATGTAAGCAGAAAAGATTTATCTACATGCCATAAACCTTCGACAATTCCTTATTGATGATACACATGTAATAAGACGGACATTGGAGGGCAGTTTTTTTTGAGTTCCCATGCGTGAATTTTTCTCAGTGTAATTTTGAGCGACTCATGCCCACCCAAATGAAAATCCCTTCTTTGCATGCAACGAAGCTTTTCTCTATCGAGTATTGAACATGTAAGTAAAATCCTTTGCTCTAACAATAAGGTTTCATTCGTTGAGTATAAAGTTGAATAAAGCATTGCCAGTACGGGGCAAAATAAAATTATGGTCGAATTCTAAGTTTCTGAAGCAATATCGATTGGTAGCAGTTGTTTCAAGCAATAAGTTTAAAACTGTCAGAATTATGTTATACTGAACCGTATAATCATCTTTCATATGAAACTGAGCATGGCATGGCTCAAAATCAACCAATTTTGCATCAATCGACTGGAAATTTTTGACAGATCCAGCCCCGGGAGTTAGATGCAGTGTTAAACAACTAAAAAGCAGACATTCGATTTTTGAGCTTGAAAAGTTTCCAGATCCCGGTTTTCCATGCATTTGAGGCAATAGCGGACCACACTCGTTTGTTCAGCTCGTCGAATTGGGTGAATCATTGTTTTGAAGGTGAACTTCTCAACGCAAACAATTTAAGCCGTAATTCGAATAGGTTACGAGGTGGTTGCTGGTAAGCTTTCAAAAAGTGCTCAGTCAATGCAAAAAATTTTAGTTCCATTCCTCCGTTTGGCATCAATCAATCGAGCTCTATCAATGCACCGCAAAATGACGACGATTTTGTGGCTTGTTTGCAGAGCCACGTGATGAAAAATACTCAAACGAATACGTTTAGTGGAATAATTTACCATTAGCTGCAAATGATTGCGTAGAAACATTTTGGAACTTCCTAGAATTTTGATTTACAGATGACCAGGATCTTCAGTGCTATTTTCGATCGCTTTATCACTCACTCTGAGTGTAGTGACGAATAATAAGGACATTCTCTGCAAAATAATTTGCAATAAACTTTGATAGAGAGCTACTGACATTCTAATTGTTAATGTTTTCATGGGAGAGGGGAGGGAATTTACATGTGTCAAGGGGGGACTTTAAAAGGTTGGCAAATTATTGTTGAATGATTTTTTCTGCATAATTTTTCCCTAGATGCCCAGTAATGTTTTCAACATGATTGTTTGATCACAAGGAAATGATTTCTTCGATGCTATCGACGAATTCATGGCAAAGGACTTTTTGATCGATTGATCAACGCTCTGATTTGTTTCTGATCTAACGCAAAGAAGTTGTGGATTGGTCAGCGGGCAGGGAATTGTGTTCAGGTGGATTGCTGGAAGAGGAACGTATTCCGGATGACCCTTTGAGTGCAAAGGGAGTGTGAACAAGAGGGATTTGGAGCGTGAAAGCTAATGGTTTATCAAGTTTCCACGAATTATTTGAGTAAAAGCCACGAAAGACGTAATTTTCCCACGTTTCTGAAGCGAGAGGTTTAGTCCAGGTGGATTGGTCTATCAAAAGAGAATGTGGATTTCCTAAACTATCACGATACTAACGAGGCTGTTAGATGGATAAAGAAACACGGAAGTAACGCTGCCGGATAATGCGATTGATCAGCATCTGCATTCGTTTAAATCAATGAAGAGAACTGCTTCAGTTCGTGCACAAAATCAGTGTATGAGTGAGAAAAATTTTACCTTTGGACGTATACGTACGTTCGAGATAGAGGTGTTGAATAAGGAGAATGGAATTTCACTTGAGAAATAGGTTTCAAACAATTGTATCCTCAGTAAGATCATTATTCAAGCTGCTGTACATGTTGTAATATGCTTGAATTATGTTAAAAAGGGATTTCCTCAGAATAAAATTTGTTGCTTGTTAATGCATAGTCAGTATCGATTATAATAACTTTATTTCAGCAATTGAAGTTTCGAATTAGCTGGGTTATTTGAAATATTGAAAGTACGAAAATTTGAAGTGCTTTGAGTGCATAAATTTTATGAAGTTTCTATTATTCGATCAAACTGACATTGGTGCGTAGTAATTTTCGATTTAGCATTATGTCCTTAATGATGTTGAGGTGTGAATGAGTTGGGCAGTTTTGTGAAGAAAAATGCAGCATATCGAGGAAACACTTGTATCCTATTAATGTTAACTGCGTTTAAGGAATAAGGTATTTCAAGAAGGTGCTTAATTGGCCTATCACGTAAATGCTTCGCCACCGGAAAACAGGCGACTGGATTTTTGATTGCCGATTAGCATTTGTTTCTTTTATTCGATCAGCTGGTATTGGTTAGGGATCATCCGATGCTGAAATGATGACGGAAATATGGCATACCGCCATCAATTTTAGACAAAATAACAAGTTTTTAAAACTTTCGGTAATCGATTCGATTAATTTTAATCTTGAAACAATCCTCACTGTTCAGTTAACATGTTTTGGGTATGCATTTCGGAATATTTAACTTCTTCTAACCAGTAGTTTGCTAACGCTCATACCAATTCATTCGGACGGTGGTTACTCTTAATTTTTAGTGTTTATTATTCAGTATTCATAGCAAATAGCTCTTGGTTGTTGGTTGAAATAGCTCTATGAAAAGAACAACAGAACAAGTGATATTCTTTTACGGATATATTTGCCGATATACCATGTATTTTACGGATATATTTGCTTATGGATTTTGTATATTTGCTTATGGAGTAACAGATTTTGCCACTTTCTACTGCACTTGTCAGATGCAAGTTTTGAATAGACAACTTCTCGTTGTAGTCGTTTCGCTGCGAAACCGATACGTCCTTATGAGGGGTCAATTTTTATCTTTGATATGTTCACGTCAATGTCGAAACTGCTTGTTGGTTGACAGAGCAATGGATATCGAACTAATGGTATCAAATGATGAATAATGAACAGAGAATATCTATTCGATTATGTTTTTTGCTGAATATTTTTTTGCGATATGGTAGAATGGATTCTCGTTGCAACATCAAGAGTTCCTCAATCCATATCTTTTCAAACCCGGGGTAGAAAAAATTCCGAGAAGAATTCCACGAGGAAAAGAATGACAATCAAAGCCATTCCTAGACAAGGCTGTCATTTGTCAATGTAGTGAATTTTATGCAGAGGTTAGCTCGCAAATGGAAGTAACCATAGTTGTTTATTTCGGCTGTTAAATGAGCAAAACTCTCCCCGTTGCATTCGAACTTTATAATGAACGATTTCTGTTAGTGTTTGATTGCCTGTTAATTCGAATACCGGCACTTTGTGCTTCATTTAGAAAAACGTGTATCCTCTGAACGAAAGTCTGAATTTGCTGAAAAATAGCTGAATAATTATTGCTCAGCATGAGAGCCATTGAAGAAATTGGAAAGTAACTTTGATCAATATTTGGCCGACAAATAGCCTGCACATGCCATGTCATTTGCGTGAAACGTACTTCTACTTCGATCATTTGGGCTTACGCTTATTATTTTGATAAGCTTCATAAGCTTTCCAGCTCTCTTCATCAAGCTTGTGACTTTCTTTGTACCGTTTTTTTTGAAATACGCGTCATGCAAATGACAAATAACTCATGAAACACTGATTGCACATATTCTGATCGCAACCAATTACAATTATACATTTATTTCACCGATTGTCATAAATAGGTGAAAGTATTTTATTCACGGTAGCGGTGACTAGAAGACAGGTAAGTACTCGCTGATGTGTTCAAGTGGCTTCCATCCCGCAAACTTCACAGTTCAACTCTTTTTCAATTGCTAATCTAATTCAGTTCACTGAAATGCCGCCAGACTTCAATGAACCAAAAACAAATCAGCTTTTCTTAATTAAAATCCAAGCGAATTTCTACGGAGTCAATGATGATTCTGCATTAACAACTGAAAATACCACACTTGACATGTGTGTTACTGAGTTCACAAGCACAGCAAGACGGTTATATTTTATTTCTTACATTCAAAGTCTACAATACTTCAAGAAGTTTCTGGGTTTTCTTTCTTGATGGCATCACGCCTTTCGTTCATCAACATTGTTCTTTCTTCAGATATATCCAATAGAGTATCGTCCAAACTTCGTTTTCGTTTCGTTGTCGTATGTTGATGCCTGCATCTGATTTACCTTCATTTCATTTCAGCCAGTCCAAAAATTATTTCAACTGAACAAGTATTCATTTGAAAACTTCAATTATTATTCCATTCATATTATTATTCCACTAATTTATACACATATTTGCTTTCAGACATCGCTCGCTGAACAGCTGACGTCAATGCTGAGGTCAATGGTTAACTGCTGGATCAAAGCTAAATGACAAATATGGCTAACCTGTTAGCAGCAAAGTTGGAGATCGATAACTGTTTATCTGATAATTCGCTGGTGGAACATTTCCATAGGAGCATTAATTCCTTTTTGAGATCGAATGAGAAATAACCATAAAGATAAGGTGAAATTGCTGAATTGAATACGGCGAATGCATAGATGAGTTTACGAATGAGGGGTGGAATCGGACTGAAAGTTGAAGTGACTTCAGAACAATTAAGGGTCACTCGAAATTTTGTTATCATTTTGACAAGAAAATTTTCAAATACACTTCCATTTATCAGAGATATGATGCATTTCGTTCATAAACAAGATCTGAGTTTTTTTCTTTTTTTTCTCTCACTCTAATTGTTCATTTTTCATGAATTTCTCCTGTGAACGGCAAGAGGAAGACGCTTTAGCGGCAGAAATATCCATCAGTGAACAAATAACAAGATAGATAACCTTGGGTGATAGGTGAAATGAATAAATGAGGCCGCTGCATATGGTGTCCAACAAAGCAGAAACGCAGATACAATAACAAAAGTCATTCTTAACGTACGACTTTTAGCACGTTCTAAGGTTGCTTCACCAGATCGACGTAGTGTTGATGTGTCTGATTTGCATGCTAAATAATACGAAAATAATACCATATCATATTATTGACTAGGTGAATTCAACGTAGTTGATTCAATAAACGAACAAACTCATTTAAATTTCATGCTGAAGAATAAAGTTTAAAGAGTAACGGAATTATTTGCGACCAACTGGAAAGTTTAGCTATTCAAATAAATTTTCAATTCATAAAGGTTACAGTTTATGTGAGCACTTACATGGGCTGGATCTGGCTTTAGAGGAAATCTTGTGAAGAATTAGTGAATAACAAGCAACAATGAAGAACAAAGGTATTAAATACACCTGTAAAGTGATTTTTTTGTAATTATCACAGTGGAATTGAAAAGCGGACGAAAGTTGGAAATGACAACATAGGGAAGTACGACTGTGATTGAAACCGTACAAGTGATTGTCGAGTGATTTTATTGAGCAGCTTTTAGTGCTGTTTTCATCATGCGTGCAAAACAAAATTCTGGATCGTAGCGAGGCATTTTGTTTTAATGGCGATCTCTTTTTGAATTCATAATTACTATTTATTTTGTGCATACAAACAAATTATCAAATTAAAAAGATATCGCCATTAAAACAAAATGCTTCGCTACGATCCAGAATTTTGTTGTGTATGCGTGACGAAAACAGCACTAAAAGATGCTCATCGTCAGTAAAAGCCGCTCGATGATCATGTGTACGATTTTAGTCACAGTCATACTTGCTTATGTTATAATTTCCAACTTTCGTTCGCTTTTCGACTCGGTATGAGAACAGTCGGTTGGAATATTTGCATCACTAAAAGCTACGTGACGAAATCGTTTCCGTTTAATTACATCGATGTTTCCACGCAAGTATGAATGTAGGATACCGTATATCCAATTTCACAACCTTAGTAATTTCTCAAACAGTTCTTGAACGAAATTATGATAAGTTCATTTGAAGTTTAAACGGAAAAAAATCAAAGCGTGTCCACCTCCTCGTAGGAGAAGGCGTGATTTTCATGACGTTTCTTTACGCCTTGTGACGCTTGAAGAAAGCATAAATAATGCGCAGAAAATGTTTCTTAAATGATATCAAATTGTGAACCTTTATGTTCCGCTGACTTTCGGTTCATTTTTGCTCTCTAATGAGTAGCTGATAAAGAGAACATAACAAAAACCTAAATGTGAATCCCAATAGCATTCATACCGGCATCGATGCATTTTATTGTACAATGAAATATTTCGAAAGTTAATTGTAGAGTATGATATCTATTTGTCATCATAGTTCATTCAATTAACATGCTCACAATTCAATGAGAAAGAACGTGACCTGCATAAGATTGATAATTGTATAAGCAAAAACGATTTGATGTGAAACAGCACCAACAAAGTCGCCTGATACGCACTGCGTATACCAATCGGCACAAGGATGAGTTGATGTACGAAACAGAAATGCCTTCAGAATGTTTGTCAAATCATTATGCAAACAGTTCTTGTGAAGAATTAAATTAGCGTGTAATACTGTTCATTATTTTACAATTTCAAACTATCAATACCTAGAAAATTAAACCTATTTTGTTCCAATTAGAAAGTAAAAATCTCTTGTTCCGATTACAAACTGAAACTATTTTGTTCCAATCATTCTAATATCAAGATGGCAGCAGTGAATCAACCTCTTATAATTATTCCGGTTTTCTCAAATTATTACTCAGTACGATGAGTTTAGAAGTATTGCAAGATTCCAGTCATTAATCGATAGTTTAGTGACGGATAAGAATCCAAAATTATTCTGCTGAGAAAGAAAATACTCGTGTATTGCACAAAGATGACGATGTCATCGACATAAATACAAATTACGTCAATTATTAATAGTCCGTTCCTTTTCTTCTTATATAT